AAAAAAAGCCTGAAAATATTCCAGCATATCAATTTAAGGAACTTCTCAAATATTGGAACTCTGATAAACACAAGGTATGTTTTTGAGAAACAGTTTCATTTATGTTAAGCTTTGTCAAGAAATATTCATGAAGGAAAAACAATTATTTTCCTTCTATGACAGTTTCGAATTGAAATTTATTATTTTACTTGCAGAAAATGTCAACAACTAATATTGAGAATCGGAAAAAGTTAAAGGATCCACACACTGCTGGCAAAAAAAGTTTTACTATAGTCCGCAATGATTTGGTCTCTGCTCTTATTTATCATTAAATATGAACTTGTTATCATTTTTAAGAAGATATTTTATACCACTTTTAATGTGTCCAGGAAAAAGAGAAAGAAACTTCTGATCCACTATGACTTAAGGATATCTTTGTCGCTACAAGACAAAGAAAACCCGGTCGAACATACAAGGAATCGAATGAAGATACAACTAGAAAAATTGTGCGAATTCTTTATGTTTCTATTTTGTTTGGATGAAAAATATGTTCATACTGACTTTTTCTTTACTGGAATTCTCTCTTTTTTTATTTGTATAATAGGCTGAAATGGAGAGTATCGAAACACAACAAAGTGAAAATGGTGATGAGTCAATTAATGCATTTGCATCAATCATGGGACCCGAACATCTGGGACGTTTGAGATTGTATGGGCGGGGGGTTACAAAAACCTCTTTGAAAGGGAAAGTGGGACATTTTGAACCCTCTTCAAATGCAACAAATGATCACATGAAAAAGATGGAAGAGAGGATGATACGATTGGAGGAAAAAATTGAGGAACAGAAGGAACAATATGAGGAACAAAAGACAATGATGAGACAAGAAATTGTAGAAGATACCATAGCAAAACTTCAACGTTCTGGATTACCAATTGATGCTAATATTTTAGCAACATTGTATTCTCGTCCATTGGGTCAAGCTTCCTCAACACAAGCAGTAGCTATTCACCTAATTCATCGACCATCTCTTGGTAGCAACAATCAAGGTTAGAATCCTCGCAATCCTGTAATTGATGCTTCTAATTTTTAGATTGTACAGTTAGAAATTTGCATTTTTTTAATTAATCCTGAATTTAAAGTGATGGGTGCTCTAACAGTGTATGAGCTCGATTAACAACTGTCATTGGAGCTTTTTGTCGACCTACTGAAATAGTCGAATTTTGCTATTTTTTCTTTGCGCCTGGTGATGTATTCTACCTCAGAACTGTCCAGATTTTCCTAGAAAAGCACCTGTCCAGCTCTTTCTTCCACAACTACCTATTGCACAGCAATAGCTATAGGAGCTGCTGTTTTTTCAGCAGCTGTTTGTGTATATTCCTTATGCACAACCTGCTCCAGATATGTTTATGTGCTGGTGATGAGTGATTGAGTTTCTTTTTATGTGTTGGTGATGAGTGATTAGTTTCTGTTTATATGCTGGTGATGAGTGATTGAAATCAAAATTCCCGGATCTGTTTAGTTGTTGTAATAACAAAGATAGGGTTGTGGCTGAATTTTATTCAAATTCAAGTTGGCAGGTGAGTTTTTGAATGAGTTTGAATGATCGGGAAATAGTAGATTTCTGCCAGTTGCTCCTTCAATTGGAATCTACCTACATTGATCAAAACAAATAGGATTCATTAGTATGGAAAAAGAGTATAGATAGGAAGTTTATTGTTAGAAATTGTTACAGCCTAATTATGAAACAAGCAGGTCACTCGAATACTAGTTGGCCTTGGAAAGTGATTTGGAAAGCTAAAGCTCCTATAAAAGAAGCATGCTTGGGTTGGATTGCAACTAGGGAAGCCTGTCTTACCTAGAGCAACCTTCAAAAGAGGGTTTTGCATTAAGTAATAGGTGCTTCTTGTGTGGAGAAGAGATGGAGATTGTGAATCACCTTCTCCTGTACTGCACTGCAGCAAGCAGCAGAGGCAGAAGAGTCTTTTTAGGCTAACAAAGCAGCATCCTGATAATTTGATCCCACAATAGCCAAGTCCTGCTCCTTTTGTTCAACAGTTGTAGTATAGGCCTTATGCACATTCACCTCTCCATCAGTCACATAGTAGCACCCTCACCTTGGGCACCAATCCTATCCACAATAGTTTTATTTTGTAAAGCAGAACCCACAGCCTAGTAAATCCTCGCTAAAGCAGTAGCGGCAGGGATATCAGCAGGAAGTTTAGACTTCCAAACAGTTTTCTGTTGATCCAGCTTTACCTACACAGTTTCTAGAGCATCAATACCACTCCTAACTCCTTGATTCATCAGTTCCTTGTTGATTACAACCTGTAGTAGCTCGATTCTAATCTGCACCACGACCAACGGCACCAGCTGGAACAATCTGTTCAGCACCAACAATCCAGTTAAACTAGGATTAGGATTGTCCTTCTCCTTTGTTGAACCTGCCTCCAATACATGTGAAGCCCTGCCTGTTCCAACATCAACCAAGCTCCCGTAGCTTTAGCAAGCTCCAAATTTTGTTGTTTCTTTGCGTTCAAAACATCCCTGGCATCAATATGATGGGACTGTTGGCGCTTACATTGGTCTTGGCGCTTACACACACATATTTACTATTATTATTGATGTGATCTTATAAATTTTGTACCTCAAAAACTAGTCATCTAAAAGTAGTTACAGTAGTAAATAGATGAAGTGTTGGTTGAAGATAACCTCAATTTTCTTACTTGTTGAAGTACTGGTTGAATATGCTTATTTTTTTCCTTACCCTCTAAATATTGTTATGTCTTGAATTTGTAGGTGAAGAAAATGAACAAATGGGAGATGAAAGCAGTGAAGACCTTACTTAAAGAGTATTGGTTGGTCTACACCTTCAGATGTTTTGGGACTGTACTTATTTTTGAATATTTGGCAAACTTATATGCAATCTAACTTATAATACTAGTTAGATATTTTTGATGATGATTTTGTGGATGAATATAGTTTTCTTTAATGGTTTGTATAAATTCCATCGTATTATAATTTACTCCATTGCAATAGCTCGTAAAAGTTATTGCAATAGTTTGTAGTAAATGTTGTAATAGCTCGAAAAATTGTTGCAATAGCTGAAATAACTGTTACATTAGCTTGTAATGACCATTGCAATAGATAATAATAATCATTGCAATAAATAAGCTAAACTATATCAACAAACTATTCCAGTAGGTCTATTCTATCGGTTTTGCACCGTTACAATAGTCGTATTGCAACGGTTCATACTCGTTACGATAGCTTTTAATAATCGTTGTATTAGCAACGGTTTTATCGGTGTTGCCATAGGCCATTTTTCTTGTAGTGTGGTACGCCTACCACGAAAACATTGAGAAATGGGATTGGCTTGCACGCCTGCAACGAGATGTGTACTGACAGTGAAATCTGATTTTATTTCCCTTATCCGTGTTAGAGTTAATTTATTGATGTTCCTTATTATTATCTTGAAATTCTGTATTATCTGCTATCCCCGAAGCATGTTCCCCTCCCATTTAAAATGTTTATTCTTGTTATTTTCCCCGCTGTAGATATATATATATATAACTGCACGGGTTTATGCGATAGTCCTGTCTAGCCTCGTCACTACTTCGCCGGGGTTAGGCTAGGCACTTACCAGCACATGGGGTCGGTTGTGCTGATACTACACTCTGTGCTCTTTTGCACAGATCCAGGTACCGGATAGCAGCAGTAGTTCGGGAGTCTTCCTTCAGTCCACCGAGACACCGAGGTAACCTTGCAGGCGTCCGCAGGCCCGGCGTCTCCTCTATCTTACATTTCATTCTGTTATCTCATGTTTCGAGACAAACGGTGTTATTTTTACTTCAAACTGTTGTATTTAGTACTCTTAGTAGTCCGTGGATGTTGTGACACCAGTTTTTGGGTAGAGGCATATGATGATTTTCGCATTACTGTTCAGTTTATTTAATTTAAGTCTTCCGCATTAATTTCATATTTCCGTTGTTATTCTAATATTTAATGCTTGTTGATATGATTGGTAAAAAGAATATAAAATGAAAGAGTTAGGAGTTTATGATTTATGGCTTGCCTAGCTTCTACGAGTAGGCGCCATCACGACCCCCGGGGGTGGGAAATTCGGGTCATGACAAGTTGGCATCAGATCTCTAGGTTACATAGGTCTCACAATTCACAGACAAGCTTAGTAGAGTCTGAGGGATCGGTACGGAGACGGAAAAGTTTCACATTTGTTCTTTCTTGTCGTGCGGTCTGGTTTCTCAATGCTAATTGAATTTCTACTCTGTTCTTTTGCAGATGGCGAGAACACGCGCTTCCTCATCTACTGATCAGCAGTCTGAGCCCCAGGCAGCTCCCACTAGGGGCAGAGGGCGAGGCCGAGGCCGTGCTAGAGGATGAGGTAGGGGCATAGCTTAGCCCCGGGCAGCAGCACCAGTGGCGGAGCCTCAGGTTGACTTGGACGAGGAGGTTAGTTCCGGTGGGCCCAGCTCAGGTCCCAGAGGGGTTTATTGCTACCCCAGTTCTTCAGGACGCTCTGGTCCGATTGGTGGGTCTCATGGAGAGTGTCACCCGTGTAGACTTGTTTCCTGTAGCACCAGCCGTCTCTCAAGATGGAGGAGGAGCCCAGACTCCTGCTACTCGCACTCCGAAGCAGGTAGCTCCCCAGACTCAAACTCCAGCAGTTCAGCCAGTTGGAGCAGCTCAGCCGGGCATGGTAGCCCAAGCCGGTGATGGAGCAACTATGTCTGCCGATGCTTTGTGGAGGTTGGACAGGTTCACCAAGCTCTTCACTACTACCTTCAGCGGTGCATCTACCGAGGATCCCCAAGATTACTTGGACAGCTGCTAAGAGGTTCTTCGGAACATGGGTATTGTTGAGACCAATGTGGTTGATTTTGCTACATTTCGCTTGTCTGGATACGCCAAGACTTGGTTGAGGGATTATTGCTTAGCTAGACCAGCATGATCGCCAGCCTTGACATGGGAGCAGTTCACACAGTTATTTCTGGAGAAGTTTCTCCCTATTACTCAGCGAGAGGCCTATCGGAGGCAATTCGAGCGCCTTCAGTAGGGATCTATGACAGTCACCCAGTACGAGACCAGGTTTACTGATTTGGCTCGCCATGCTCTTATTATACTTCCCACTGAGAAGGAGAGAGTGAGACGGTTTATTGATGGACTCATTCAGCCTATTCGTCTCCAGATGGCTAGAGAGGCTAGGAGCGAGATATCCTTTTAGGAGGCGGCCAATGTGGCCCGGAGGATTGAGATGGTATTGTCACAGAGGGGTGGTCATAGGGCAGACAAGAGACCCTGTCAATCAGGCTGATTCAGTGGTGCCTCGTCTGGAGGCAGAGATTCTTATGATAGGGGTCATCCTTCTAGGCCTTTCCAGTCAGCCCTCCAGGTTTCTCATGGTGCCTCAGGTGGCCGTGGTTCTCACACGCAGTATTCCGATCAGCAGTCCTTCAGTGCACCACCAGGACCTATCAATGCACCACTCCTTCAGAGTTTCCAGGGTCGTCAGCCCCAGCAGCTGAGGGCTTGTTTTACTTGTGGCGACACGAGGCACATTGCTAGGTATTGCCCTCGTGCACTAGGTAGCTCTCAGCATCAGAGTTCTCGTGCCATGGTACAGGCACACAGCCCGCCCAGCCAGCTAGAGGTGGGGGTAGAGGTGCTAGAGGGGGAGGTAGATGTCCTAGAGGTGGAGCTCAGACCGCTAGAGGTGGAGGCCAGCCAGCAGCAGGCTGTCCCAGAGAGGTAGATCAGAGTGGTGGGGCTCATCCCCGATGTTATGCTCTTCAGGCCAGACCCGAGGCAGAAGCATCAGATGCGGTTATTACAGGTACAATTCTGGTTTGTGATAGAGATGCTTCAGTGTTGTTTGATCCGGGGTCTACGTATTCGTATGCGTCATCTTATTTTGCCCCGTACTTGGTCATGCCTAGTGATGCATTGGGTGTTCCTGTTTATGTGTCTACACCGGTGGGTGATTCTATCGTGGTCGATCGAGTCCACCGTTCTTGTATTGTGGTGATTGGGAGTCTTGAGACTCGTGTAGATTTGTTGCTTCTAGACATGGTTGACTTTGATATTATATTGGGGATGGACTGGTTATCACCCTATCACGCTATCTTGGACTATCATGCCAAGACTGTGACCTTAGCTTTAGCGGGTATGCCTCGTTTAGAGTGGAGAGGGACTCCTAGTCATTCTACCCGCAGTGTTATATCGTTTGTGAAGGCTCGACGTATGGTCGAGAAGGGGTGCTTGGCCTATTTAGCTTATGTTCGTGATTCTAGTGCTGAGGTTCCCTCTATTGATTCTGTACCTGTTGTTCGTGAGTTTCCTAATGTTTTCCCTTCAGACCTGCCGGGTATGCCACCCGACAGGGATATTGACTTCTGCATTGATCTGGTTCCGGGCACTCAGCCCATTTCTATCCCGCCATATCGTATGGCCCCGCCGGAGTTAAAGGAGTTAAAGGAACAGTTGCAGGATTTTCTTGAGAAGGCTTTCATTAGACCCAGTGTTTCACCTTGGGGTGAGCCGGTGTTATTTGTTAAGAAGAAGGATGGGTCAATAAGAATGTGTATTGATTAACGACAATTGAACAAGGTTACAGTCAAGAATAAGTATCCGCTGTCGAGGATTGATGATTTGTTCGACCAGCTTCAGGGTGCCAGGGTATTTTCCAAGATTGACTTACGATCTGGCTACCATTAGTTGAGGATTAGGGCATCCGATGTCCCTAAGACAGCTTTCCGCACTCGGTACGGGCATTATGAGTTCTTGGTTATGTCATTCGGGTTGACAAATGCCCCAGTCGCTTTTATGGACTTGATGAACCGAGTGTTCAGGCCTTATTTGGATTCATTCGTGATAGTCTTCATTGATGATATATTGATATATTCCCGCAACCAGGAGGAGCACGAGCAACACCTTAGAGTGGTTCTCCAGACTCTGAGGGATAGTCGATTGTAGGCTAAGTTCTCGAAGTGTGAATTCTGGTTGGGTTCAGTTGCATTTCTGGGTCATGTTGTATCAGCAGAGGGTATTCAGGTGGACCCAAAGAAGATTGAGGCAGTCAAGAACTGGCCTAGACCAGCATCAGCTACAGAGATTCGGAGTTTCTTGGGGTTAGCAGGCTACTATCGACGGTTGGTGGAGGGGTTTTCATCTATTGCAGCCCCGATGACCAGATTGACCCAAAAGGGTGCCTAGTTCAGATGGTCAGATGAGTGTGAGGCGAGCTTTCAGAAGCTCAAGACAGCTCTGACTACGGCACCGGTGTTGGTTTTGCCCACAGGTTCAGGGCCTTGTACAGTCTATTGTGATGCTTGCCGTGTTAGGCTTGGAACAGTGTTGATGCAGGATGGCAAGGTCATTGCCTATGCTTCGAGGCAGTTGAAGATTCATGAGAAGAACTATCCGGTTCATGATTTGGAGTTGGCAGCCATAGTTCACGCATTGATGATTTGGAGGCATTATCTGTATGGCGTGGCATGTGAGGTGTTCACGGGTCACAAGAGTCTTTAGTACTTGTTCAAGCAAAATGAGTTTAATTTGAGATAGAGAAGGTGGTTGGAGTTGTTGAAAGATTATGATATCACCATTTTATATCATCCGGGGAAGGCCAATGTGGTGGCCGATGCTTTGAGTAGGAAGTCAGCCAGTATGGGCAGTCTTGCTTATATTCCGGTCGGTGAGAGGCCGCTTTCTTTGGATGTTCATGCTTTAGCCAATCAGTTCGTGAGACTGGATGTTTCTGAGCCCAGTCGTGTGTTATCTTGCACGGTCGCTCATTCTTCATTATTGGAGCGTATCCGTGGTTGGCAGTATGATGATCCCCATTTGTGTGTCCTTAAAGACACGGTGCAGCGCAGAGGTGCCAGGTAGGTTACCTTAGATGACGATGGAGTTTTGAGATTGTAGGGTCGAGTATGTGTGCCTAATGTGGATGGGCTCCGAGAGTAGATAT